TGCCCTGGGGAGCTCAGTGAGGTCCGTCCATGGTGGTCTGGGTGGGTGTTTCTTCTCTAGGACCATGCTGAAGGTCTCCACTGCATCACCTCCCATGGCAGCACAAATTTTGGTGCCTGAATTGGTGCATTTGGGAAATGCTTTGAGGGGCACCACAGGCACGGCCCTAGAAAAGCTCTGAGGGGTGACTCATCCAGCACATGGTGACACCTGTGGTGACACCTCTGTCCCTGGCATCTCCCCCAGGGACACACCGAGCTCAGCTGACCCCTCCAGCTCCCCTGGCTGAGTGGAAAGCTGGAGCTGAGCTCTCCAGCAGCTCTTCCCAGCCCCAGCTGGAATTTTCCCGCCTTGGGGCAGGGGGAGGATGTGTGCCACCGCTGCCAGAAGGTCCTGCCAGGGGCAGCTGCAGGTGGCAGGAACCAAAGCCTGCCCAGCAGGGTCTTCTGATGGGACAGGGCAGAGGAAAAGCACAAAGTCACCCCATAGAAGATGCTCAGATGTTCTGGACTTCCCTGGGACCAGTAACAGCTTTTTTAAACTAGGAGAGATTTTGAGTGGATTTTGGGAAGGGTGACCCACTTGGAGGGTGGGCAGGCCCTGGCACAGGGTGCCCAGAGCAGCTGTGGCTGCCCCTGGATCCCTGGCAGTGCCCAAGGCCAGGCTGGACAGGGCTGGGAGCAGCCTGGGACAGAGGGAGGTGTCCCTGCCATGGCTGGGGTGGGACGGGATGAGCTCTAAGGTCCTTTCCAACCCAAACATTCCATGATTCCATGCAGGATTCCATGCCAGGACCAGGCCAAGGACACCCCGTGCCCCCCAGGCTGTGCAGCCCCTCCCCAGCTCTGCAGCACCTTTTGGCCAGCAGCGTTTGCACCATCCCAAACACAGCCTGCCTGAGGGAGCCAACAATTTGTCCCAGGAATTTTTATGATCTCAGGAACATAAACAAGAGCTGAGAGCTCTCGTGAGGGCTGGAGCGTGCAGCAGCCGCCTCTTCTGCTGTGGCCACCCACCCTGCACCATGGTGGCCTCCAGCAGGGACCAGCCAGGGCTTGGATCCCACCCTGCCCCAGCAGGCACTGCCAGGACTCTGGGACAGGCTGGGCAGCACATGGGACATCCCAGTGGCACTGCTGTGTCCCTGGGAGGGGGTGGGCAGCACATGGGACATTGCAGTGGCACTGCCAGGACCTTGAAAGGGGGTGGGCAGCACATGAGACATGTCCCAGTGGCACTGCTGTGTCCCTAGGAGGGGCTGGGCAGCAGACAGGACACTAAGCAGAAGGAATTCCTACTTCTACACGGGTTTTTTCCAAGACTTGCAGTGTCCCTGACCTCCTCACCTCACTGCTGTCCCTCAGACATTCCTGGGCTGCTTGCTGGAGCTTTTGGATGAAGCAACCAACCTGGGGATGGAGGCACCTCCCGGGGGGGCTGAAGGCATTCGAGGCACCCAAGGGTGCTGAGGACACCAGGAACCTCCACTCCTTTGTTTTTTCTTACACACCCAGGCCCAGGCAGGTCCCTGAGGAGATGGGACATGTCCTGGTGCCTGGGCAAGGTGTCACCTCCATGGGTGGGTCAGGGACACGGCCCCTGTGAGCAGCCAGGGCTGGAGGCTGAGCTCAGGGAGGCATTGCCCAGATTCCTGAGCACAGCCACCCCTTCAAGCCCCAGACAAAAGCAGCAGCCTTTGGTCATGTGCAATCACAGCTCTTCCTGCTTTCAAGGACAGCAGCTCCACCAACCTGGGCAGGCAGAACCCCAAATAAACCACCCCAGGGAGGTCCCCAAGGCAGGTCAGCTTGTGAGCAGCCCCATGTGAAGGGATCTGCCTTGGGAAAGAGGGGAAGGCAGGATCCCACAGAGCCACAGCACCAATCCCATCCCTTTAGCCAGGCAGGAAACGTGGCAGACCAGCTGCTGATGGAATAAAACCCAGGCTGAGCCCTGACACGCTCTGGGGACCATGGGGAGCCACCAGCACCCCAGGAGCCCCAGCACAACTGTCCCCTCCTCACACCCAGGGGGCTCCTCCCAGCCCCAGGAAATATTTGGGACTGGTAGGTGTGTGCCAGGCTGTGGGGCTGGGGAGCCCCTGGGGTGCCCAAATCCCTGCCACAGGGCCAGGGGCAGAGGGTGTCAGGGAGGATTTTTCAGCTCTGGATTGCTGGAGAGGCCAGAGGCAGATGTGTTTATTCCATATTCTCATTGCTGTTGTATCTTGCTGGTGTTTCAGGTGCAGATCAGACTCAGAGCCACCTCTGGAATCACCTGCCAGGGGTTTCCTGTTCCTCTCTGGGGATGTGCCCAGGTGGGAGCAGCACTCACACCCAGGAGCAGGAGGACAGTGCCTGGCACAGCTGCTCAGGGGGGCACTGAGGGGTCCCTGAGCTCCTGCAGCCCTGGCATGGAGCACAGACATGCACACAGCTGACCCTGCTGTGTGTTCTTCCATGGGGTGGGACAAACCCAGCCCAGGCAGTGCACAGGGCCCCAGGATGGGCTGGGCCAGCAGCACAGGGCACATCCCACGCAGGAGGAAGGAGAACCTGAGCCCCAGGGCCACCAGCAGGGAGGGGGACAGAAAGGACATGCCAGCTTCGGAGAGTCCCCAGTAGTGACTAACCCAAAGGGGAATGAGCCCCCCTAAAGTGACTCCAGAATCAGTTACCAGGGCTGTGGGAAGGAAACGGAGCTGGGAGGGAGCCCTTACCTTGACAGGCTTGTGGGAAGGACATGGAGCTGAGATGAGCCCTCACCTTTCTGTGGGAAGCACAAGGAGCCCTTACTCTGCTATGGGAAGGACAGGGAGCTGGGGATGGAGGCCTGGAGCCCTTACCTTGCTGTGGGAAGGACAAGGAGGCCTTACGTTGCAGTGGGAAGCACAGGGAGCTGGGACGAGCCCTCACCTTACTGTGGAAGCACAGGCAGCTGGGATGGAGGCCTGGAGCTCTCACCTTGCTGTGGGAATCACAGGGAGCCCTCAACTTGTGGTGGGAAGCACAGGGAGTAGGGATGAGCCTTCATATTACCATGAGAAGGACAGGGAGCTGGGGATGGAGGCCTTGCCTTGATGTGGGAAGGACAGGGAGCTGGGATGAGCCCTCACCTTACTGTGGAAGCATAGGGAGCTGGGGATGGCGGCCTGGAGCCCTTACCCTGCAGTAGGAAGCACAGGGAGCCCTCAACTTGTGGTGGGAAGCACAGGGAGCTGGGATGAGCCCTTACCTTTCTGTGGGAAAGGACAGGGAGCCCTTACCCTGCTATGGGAGGGACAGGGAGGTGGGGATGGTGGCCTTANGGTGGGAAGCACAGGGAGCTGGGATGAGCCCTTACCTTTCTGTGGGAAAGGACAGGGAGCCCTTACCCTGCTATGGGAGGGACAGGGAGGTGGGGATGGTGGCCTTACGCTGTGGTGGGAAGGACAAGGAAGCCCTGCCTTGCAGTGAGAAGCACAGAAAGCTGGGATGGAGGCCTTGCCTTGCTGTGGGAAGGACAGGGAGCCCTTACCTTGCCATGAGAAGGACAGGGAGCTGGGGATGGAGCCCTTACCTTGTGGAAGGAAGGACAGGGAGCTGGGGATGAGTCCTTGCCCTGCTGCGGGAAGCACAGGGAGCTGGGATGGAGATGGAGGCCTTACCTTGTGGTGGGAAGTACAGGGAGCTGGGACGAGCCTTCACCTTGCTGTAGGAAGGAGAGGGAGCTGGGGAGGTAGAGGGAGCTGGGATGGAGCCCTCACCTTGCTGTAGGAAGGACAGGGAGCTGGGGAGGGACAGGGAGCTGGGATGGAGCCCTCACCTTGCTGTAGAACGCACAGGGAGCTGGGGAGGGACAGGGAGCTGGGGATGGAGATGGAGCCTTACCCTGCTGTGAGAAGGACAGAGAGCTGGGGAGGGACAGGACAGGGATCTGGGACGGGCCCTCACCTTGCAGTGGGAAGCACAGGAGGTAGGATGGAGGCCGTGGGAAGCACAGGGAGCTGGGGAAGGACAGGACAGGGATCTGGGACAGGCCCTCACCTTGCGGTGCAGCAGCTGGGCCTGCGGGCTCCCGGCGCCCTCGATCTCATAGCGGACGCTGTTGAAGAGAGCGACCCCAAACTGCTCCTTGTAGCAGCGGCAGAACTCGCCCAGCACCTTCCCCGTCCTCTCTGAGGGAAAAACGACAAAAAAAAATTAAAATTTTAAAAGTTTAATAGTAATAAAGTGGGTATAAAAATAGTAATATAATTAGAGTAATAAAAAATTGAGTAGAGTATTAATTTAGAGTAATAAAAATTGAGATTAGGACAATGGAGACAATAAAAACAAAGAGTTATGGGCAGGACAGGTACCCTTTTCTGAGCAAAATAAGCCCAAAAAGGACCCATGTTAACAGAGGATTAACCCTTAAAAGCAATAGCCTGTTGCATATTCATACATGATGCATAAATTCCATTCAAATAAAGGATTCTATCTGGTCAGTGTCAGCTTCTTCCTCTGAATCCTAACAGCTCTTCATGGCTGAGCAAGGTGAGAAGAAGTTTGTTTCTTCTGATAATGGAGCAATAAATTCTCTTTCTCTGAAAGATTTAGGTGTCCTGTGGCTGCTATCTCGGTGGGAGTACCTCATTCCTTTCTTTAAAAAAATATCCCACGCACATAGTTTCTATTTTAACTAAAAAAGTTACATTTGAAACACAAAATTACATTTACCATACTATCAAAATGTTAATACACCACTACTAATCAATACAACATAATACATATAGTAAATATCTGCGTAGGGCCATATGATATTCACTTTTCACTTCTGCAATGGGACAGCACAGCTACATCAGGCACGGGCTGGGTTTGGGGTCTGAACCCCTCAGAGCCCACCCAGACCCCTCCCCAGTCCCCTCCAGCCTGCTGGAATATAAAAATATATCTAAACAACTTAAGTCTTAGTGTGCACCAGCCACACTGTCTGTAACTGTTCTTAGAATTGTCTCAAAGCAACCTAAAATTCACCAAAGTTACTAAAACATCAACTGTACTAAAATAAGAACGAAGAAGCTGAGAGTCTGCATACCAAGATCACAAGAACTAAATAACAGAAGACTGTAGAACACCTACACAGTAACCAATCACAAACACTAAAAAATGAAGGCAGAAAACAAAAGAACAAAATGAAAACACCAATCAAGAAGAGTAGATTTATAAAATCTATAAAATAAACAATAAACAACTTCTACTTAATCATATTAATCAATAATTCAAGAGTCCTGGTTTATCCACAATGCTGGAACAGCCTTTGGTGCAGGGACCATGGCAGAACCCGCTGCCTCCTGCCCTCCCTGCAGCCCAGAGCCTGATTCAGGGTCAGGATGATCTCTTTTTTTGGCCTTTCACATTAATTTCATGGATTCCTCTCCCCAGCAGGAAATTCCTGACATTGAGCTGATTCCGGCGGTGCCGGAGCTTCCTGTGCCTTGTGCAGCTCCTGGCCCTGCTCTGGCCACCTCAGCTGGCTGGGATTGGGGTGAGCCCCCCTTTCCTCAGCCCAAACATCACTGACACTCCCAACCCCACTGTGCCCCACAAGGGACATCCCACACAAAGGGCTCCCAGCCTGTGCTGCTGCAGGGATTGGGGTTGGGGTAGGTGTGAGCCCCCCCATTCCCCACCCCAAACATCACTGACACCCCCTGACCCTGCTGTACCCCCACAAGGGACACCCCACACAAAGGGATCCCAGCCTGGGCTGCAGCAGGGATTGGGGTGAGCCCCCCATTCCCCACCCCAAACATCACTGACACCCCCCTGACCCTGCTGTACCCCCACAAGGGACACCCCACACAAAGGGATCCCAGCCTGGGCTGCAGCAGGGCTGGGATTGGGGTTGGGCTGAGGGGAAAGGACAGCCTGGACCCCCCATACCTGAGGCAGGGACCCCCACCCGCACCCCAAATTCCAATCTGGGATGAGTCCAAGGTGTTGGGAGAGCCTGAGCTGCCAGGCATCCCCCTGCACCCCTCACTGGAGGAGATCCCCTCCATCCCACAGGCAGCCCCTGGATGCAGCCCCTGGATGCAGGGGGTGGGGGCACACTGCAAACCCACCCCAAACAGCAGGGATGGGGTTTTGCCAGCCTCAATGTGGCCAGAGGAGCCCCTTGGGCACCCAGACCCACCCAGCACCTCCCCACCCCTGCCCCAACCCCCTCTGCACACCAAAACCCCATCCTGAGGCATCCCAAAGCTGCAGAAACAACTCCCCCCTGAGCTGCTTTTGGCACACGCAGCCTCGACTTTGAACTCCCCAGTCAACTTTGCCCCAGAGCCTGTGAAAAATGAAGAATTTGAGTCTCCTCCAACGATTTCTGACAGCTCAGGCTTGGCCGGAGCGCCGGTGATGGGCGCGGGGAGGACAGATCCTGGCTCTGCATCCCAGTGCTGGAGCCAGCACGATGCTGGGGGCACAGACCCAGACAAAACAGCCCCCACGCCGGCTTGGCACAGCCTGGCAGCAGCCAAAACCTCCAGCAGGAGCCAAAACCTCCAACAGGAGCCAAAATCTGCAGCAGGAGCCAAAATCTGCAACAGGAGCCAAAATCTGCCGCAGGAGCCAGCCTGGAGCTGTGCTGGCAGCCAAGGCAGCACAAGGAGCAGCTTTGCTGCAGGGTGCTGCAAATCCCCAAGGGATGAGCAGCTCCAGAGGAAAAAGCTGCCCAGGGAGGGATAAACCCATCCCTGAGGAGATGCCAGCACTGCCAGCCACTGAGCAAACCACAGGCCAGGGCAAAACCCCCCAAAGCTGAACAAATTCACAGCAAAGGATGGGACACCCCAGCTCATCCCAGCACAGAATTCCTCAGGCTGAGTTTTGGCCTCTCCTCCTGGCCTGCACACAGCACCTCTGTTGCAATTCCTGTCTCCCAGGCTGTGTGATCCTGGCCAGGGCTCTGGGCAGCCATGCAGAGAGCTGAGATTGAAAAGGACATTCTGAGGTTTCATTTCCTTTCAGTCCATGGGAAAAAAGGAGCCCCTGCTCCCCGGGCAGGCGAGACAGCTTAGTCACTCATTCTTCCCTGATTAACAGCAGGGCCAATTAAGGAGGGTTTAAGCACATGGAAAAGCAAAAGTCAATTATTTGCAGAGGTTGGAACAAGGCTTGCAGTCAAACAGCAGAGGTGACGAAATCTCCCCAGGCTCAGCAGGATGCTCAGGGTGCTGGGGGATGCTGGGTGCTCCGTGCCTGGTAGCCCTGGTGGAAAGCCCAGGGGAGCAAGAGGGACAGGGACACCTGGGGGTAATATAAGAGTGGGGGGCTGTGCCTGAGCAGAGGGTGGGTGCCCACGCTGTCCATGCCAGAGGGTGTCCTGACCCCTCACATCTGGCAGGGCTGATGTGTCACCCTCAGGAAGTGCCTCAGCCGCCCCCTGGCTCCTCCACCAGGCCGAGCAAAGCCTCCCCGAGGAGCTGGGGGCTGTGCAGAGCATTCCCTGCCAGCACAAGGGAGCACTGAGGGCTGTACAGAGCATTCTGTGCTCCAGCTCTGCGACCAAAGCCACCCACGAGTGGCTGTCCCTCCACCAGCAGCTTTGGCTGCACATCCAGCCAGGAGCTGCAGGGGTGTGGGGACAGGGGACACAGCCCCCTAGACTGTCACCTGGCATGGCAGAGGAGGGAAGGGACCCCTGCAGCCAACACCACCTGGGTGTGAGCTCAGACACCCACAAAGCATTTGGCAAACAGCAGCACCCACAGGGAGCTCCCAGGGCTGGGTGTCCCCCACCACCCACCCACCCCAGTGCTTTCCCAATGCCCTGGGACCAGCCCCACACCCTCCCCCTGGCACCAGCCCATCCCTGGCACAGGCCCTGGCACGTCCCTGGGCTGGCTCCTGGCAGGGGGAAGCCACTGTGGGGCTCCAAGAGCAGCAGCAGCAGCACCAACGCCTGGCTGGGCAGGATCCCTGTGTCAGCACCTCTGGTGACAGAGCTGCTCTGTCCCCAGCCCCCAGCTCCCCTCCTGCTCTCTGTGACTCAGGCACACGTGGTGGCTCCAGCAGGGGGGACATGAAGGGGCTGCACAGCCCAGGGGGCACAGAGGGCACCCAAACCAGGCTGGGCACAGGGCTGGGTGGGTGCTGGCAGCCAGGACAGAGTTCAGCCCGGCCACAGCAGCTCCAGAGGGCACCTAAACCCCAAACTGAGCTGGGTACAGGGTGGGATGGCAAGGACACAGTAAGGACAGGGCTCAGCCAGGTCACAGCAACTCCAGAGGGCACCCAAACCCCACACTGGGCTGGGTACAGGGCTGGGTGGGTGCTGGCAGCAAGGACAGGCTTCAGCCAGGCCACAGCAGCTCCAGAGGGCACACAGAGGGCTCTGGGCACCCAAACCCCGAACTGAGCTGGGTACAGGGTGGGATGTCAAGGACACAGCAAGCTCAGGCTTCAGCCAGGCCACAGCAGCTCCCAGCCATGCTCCAGCCCTCCCTGCCAGGTCCTCCACACCGTGCTGGCATCACCCAGGCTGTGCTGTGGGCACAGCAGGACACAGAGCGGGGCAGCACAGGTGTGTCATTGTCCCGGGTCAGCCTGAGGCTCCTGTGGCTGAAAACAGGACAGGAGGCTCCTCTCCTGCCCAGCCCCTGAGCAGTGCTGCCACCAGAGCTGTCAGCCAGGGCAGGGTGACAGGCAGGGCACAGCCCTGGAGCAGTGGGTGCCCCGAGGGCAGGCACAGCCTTTGTGCGCTCAGAGGTCACAGCCAGGGCAGCCCTGGCTGGCTCCTGGTCCCTCTGAGCCAGGGCAGGAGGTGGATTCTGCCTTCAGGATTCCAAAGGCAAACTGTCCAAGCTGGTCCAGCAGCCTGCACTGGCTGTGTCCTGCCCTTGGAAGCATCTTCAGCCCCATAATCAGCCCCACACACGGAATCACGGATTGCTCTGGGCTGGAAGGGACCTTGGAGGTCATCCCATCCCACCCCTGCCATGGCAGGGACACCTCCCACTGTCCCAGGTGCTTCCAGCCCTGTCCAACCTGGCCTTGGGCACTGCCAGGGATCCAGGGGCAGCCACAGCTGCTCTGGGCACCCTGTGCCAGGGCCTGCCCACCCTCACAGGGAGCAATTCCCAATATCCCATTCATCCTGCCCTCTGGCAGTGGGAGCCATTCCCTGTGTCCT